GTAATTGGCAACTTATCTATGCGCATCTTGCGCAGACGACTTGTCAATTAATAAATGAGTATTACATTATTTAGACATAATTTGTGTATGTCGAGCAGATAGTTGTATGTGTGCTATGTGGGTCTGTGTTTTGAGAAAATGTTTTTCTTGCTCCTAATGTATCTTTGGTCAGATGGCTCCTCATCACATACCACCATCTCTCCGTGGTAGACTGGGGCATGCTCTTTGAAGGTGCCGTCAGGCTCTTGTGCGTTCAAGATCAGCCACTTTGTGGCGCTGCAGATCACGTTCTCCTCAATGCTGATGAGAGGGTACGCCATGGCGAACACCTTGGTCACATATGCTGTCAGCCTGGGGGGCGGGATGATGCAGAGTATTGAGTTTAATGGAGTTCTGGTCAAGGATGGAACGGCCTGATAGTGCAATCAGTCACTGCTCACCAGGTGCTGCTTCGTGTATGTTTCCAAACACTGTATGATCCGTCTTCCTTGCGATACGTCAACTCCTGCATGTAACCTGAGCACAATGAAATGATTAGACTATTGGATCTGATGTCTCTTAGTGTGTCTCAGTACCAGAAATCCATACAAGTTTATCAATGTTCAAGAGAAACAGACTGAGGTCTGCTTAGGGTGATGTAGTTCAGGAGCGTGAAGCCTGTGTTTGACACACCTGTGCGGATGTATTTGATGGCCGTCTCTCGCTTATCCACTCCCACCCTCTCCCACTGGCCTGTGCTGTCCAGGTAGAGCGTGGCGATGACTGGTCCTGTGAGGCCAATCATGTTCTGCTCCCCGCAGCCTGATGGCTGCTGGATGAGGTTCCCAAGCGTTGAGCCGCTGATGACCTGGTAGATGGTCTGACCAATCTGCTCACCTGAGCGAGTGATGCAGCATGTGAAGCTGGGCCCCTGTTATGTTGAGTCTGACACCACATGGTATCACCCAGCTAAATGTAACCGGGCAGTATAATGCCACACAACCTTCAGGAAACATCTTAAGACTCATCTCTTCCTGAAGCACATCAACTAACCTCATCCTATCGCTGCTTCACTGATAGTTCTATTGGTTTCTCTTGGAAATACTGGATGCTTTCTTTTTATATTTTGCACTTGAGTTTGTAGGAATTGTCTCCTTGATGTTATTTGAATAGCTTCTAATTCTGGGTTTTAGCAGTACTGGTATGGCTCCTGCTCCAACACCATCTTGACTTTGTTCTTGGTTACCCAGAAGCTTTGCCCTACCAGCCATTACACCAGATCTGGCTCCTTGACAGCTTTATGTTTGTGATGTATTGTCTGCCTTGCTTTGGACTAAATCATCTGCAAAAAAATACTTGTACATGTAATTTAACTTCTATTGAATTGGCAGCCATATGGCAGCAAAAAAAGTATTTGAACTCTTTATAATTACTTGGTTTTCTGCATTAATTGGTCATAAAATGACAGCTCTTGAGTGTAGGCATTCCGAAATATTATTGAGTGTAGGCATACCAAGAGGTTATTGGGGGGGCAGTGTGTGGCTCAGTGGGCTAAGCCTGTGTACCTGTAATCCCAAGGTTGCCAGTTTAAACCCAGCCTCAGCACATCTGTGGGTCCTTGAGAAAGGCCCTTAACCCCAGTTCCCTGGGCACCCCAACAGGTGGCTGCCCTTCACAGACAACTTACTCTGCAAAGAGCAAGTTGAGGGAGGCATAAAAACAATTTCCCCACAGAGATCAATAAAGTATCTATTATTATTGTTATTTTTCCAAGACAAGGTTCACAACAACTGATGCTTCTTTCATATAGCAAACTGAAAATGTTTAAGTGATTTTTACAAGCCAAACTAACCCACACCAGGGATCTCAATTCATTGAATGGACTCCAGGTTTACATCTCCTGACTTCATTTAGCTTTTGTTGAAGTGAATAGCCTTGGGGTTCACATACATTTTCCAACCTGCACTGTGACTGTTTGAATTATGTCTTCAGTATGTACAAGAACAATAAAATAATCTGTGTTTCATTAGATAAAATTGAGTGTGTTTGTTTATTACTGTAACTTAGATAAAGATTGTGTCACATTTTATGACCAATTAATGCATAAAATGAGCTAATCTCAAAGGGTTTATATACTGCCACGGTACATTAGAATGGATAACAGCATATACGAGAACATACACCAAATGGTTAGAATACATCACCCAACACCACCCTTATAAAAGAAGGTCTTCAAAGGGCTCTGGGTGGAATCCTCACCGGTCACGCTGATGAATGTGTGAGCAGGGGACCCAGGCACCCTATTCTTCAGATCAGCACCCTTGACTGTCTCCATCTGATTCTTATCTGGAATGATCAAACACAATGCTGTCATACACTCATTTACTTAACAGGTGTTTAGGGTTTTTAACAGCAACAGAAATCCAGGTCAAAGCCTTACTGTGTGTAGCAGGATCCAGAATGACTGTTTTAATCTCCTTCCTGATGTGTATCCCTTCAGGCTGTCAGAACAAACACAGGAACCCAAGAGGAACATGCTCAGCTGAAGTCTGGCATAAAGAACTGATTCAGACAACAGGAGAGTGAACGTTTTTCACGCAGTCGGACTATAGACCCAACAGGTGACGTCCTCAGGTGACGTCAACAACTGGACAGTGAGAAACTCATTTATGAAAGTAAAGAATAAAACTTTAAAACCGTGACTTTTTAAAGCACCACTAGTGTACTGGCATCCTACAAAATTCCCATTCTTGCAACCTGGGTTTAATTCCAGTTCTAGTTCAATTCCAGTTCCACACACTCCCCATGCTCCTCCAATCCGTCTGCAAACTTCATAGGAAGAGTCACCAGAGACATGAATGTCGCTGCTGAGGTAAGTGAATCTCTCGACAAGGTCGACTTTCTCCCTGCAGACAGACACACTACTGATGGCCGTGCCTAAGAAGTCATTAAATGCCTGGATCTTGGTCTTTATCCAAGACACCCACAATCCCAGACACTCAGACTCTTCACTCAGTCTCTCGAGAGCCCCGATCAGAGCCTCCATTGACTCAGCTAAGATCACAGCATCGTCAGCAAAGTCAAGCACTATGCTTGCACTGTGGGTAATTTTAAGATGGCAGGTTACATCGTATTTCTCAGGATGGCAGGAGGAAACCCGCACAAGCCGGGGAGAGCAGGGGGTGGGATTCAAAACCCCCCCATTGCTGAAGCTGCAAAGTAATAGTACGCCCCTCAGAGCCCCCATACCACCCATCAAACAGATATGTAGGTCGCATTTGCTTATCTGAGCTTGTTGGTCCTCCTTAGTCTTGCTTTGCATCAAGGGCGTCGTTAGGCATATTTTAGGGGGGTTGTACCCCTAAAATGTTTCTTAGCCACCCCAAATAAATGTGCATTTATTAGCTAAATTCATGAATAGCTTTTTACATTATATATGTTAGCCATCACCGCCCTCGTAAGGACTTAGCCTCCCAATCCATTCATTTTTAACTACTCCCCTGCTTAGTATCACTTTTTCCACAAATAAGTTCTAATTTCTAGCTGTTAATCACACTACCGACATGTAATGAATGTGATTGAGATGCTGATGGACAGATGTGGGACTCAGATGGAGAAGGGCACTAACCACCACCAGCAGGTCCTTCTTCACACCATCACGGCTGATGGAGTCATAGACAAAAGCTTGGACCTCAATCGAGTGCTTCCCGAGTCCCATGGGGATGATGATGAAGGACACAGAGTTGGAGGACATTGCCTCCACCATCACCTCCTCCCGGTACTTCCTCTTCTTGTGGGCTGCACTGCACACTGTCTCAGTGTCCATCAGTTCCACACGAACCTGTGGAGATGCTTCATGTTTATCTTGGAGGTCTCAGGTGGGGGGTCTGGAGTGGAGAGTATCTACAGAAAGACCTTACTTTTATGTCATTGTTCATGTAGTTGTAAAGTACAGCTTTGATCTCCAGCTGCTCATTTCGCACAGCAGAATAGGGCAGCTTCAGGTCAATGAAGAAGTCCTTCATCACGTTCATCTCAAAGGGACTCGCCATACAAATTCCTACAGAGCGGGAATGTGTTTGTGATTCTGTATCTAATGTGGATAAATACTCATAAATACTGAAATAAGCATTTCTGTGCCAGAATGGACAGATACACTACCATTTTTTTTGGACTGACTGACAGCAGTGACCTCCCAGGTGGTAATGGAATCCATCACAGCCTGTGTAATTTCCATTGACGTGGAAGCACTGGATGGGAGACAAACACCAAAAAATGCTGGCGGGCAGTTTGACTAAAGTGCTGCCCCAGCAATGCAGATGGGATGCAGTTACATGGTGACTGAGCACATAAAAGGGCTGCACAGCCGCAGACTGATAACCGATACAGTGACATAAAAGGGCTGCCCAACCACAATCGGATATCTGATACAGTTACATCAAAGGGCCACACAGCCACAGACGGATAACTGATATAGTCAGATCAAAGGGCTGTGCAATCGCAGAATGATAACTGATACAGTCAGATCAAAGGGCTGTGCAATCGCAGAATGATAACTGATACAGTCAGATCAAAGACTTGCACAGCCACAGACTGATACAGTCCCATCAAAGGGCTGTGCAGCTGCACACTAATAAATGGCTATTAACTCATTCTAAGTGGGATGAAAAGACAGCAGGTTGTACCAGTTTCGCTTTTTGGGGCACGCTGGCAGTGTCACCTCCAGCCACAGCCAGCTCTCAGGGAACTGCGTGCGTGACATGCTGTCTCTGTCCGACATGTAGTACTTATCATCTTCTGCTATAGTTGGAGAGACAGGCAGGGTGTCTCTATGATAATGTGTCCTTCAGACCATACACAACTGAAGTATGCAAGAAGATTCCTTTCCTGTTGCATTTCCTCAACACAAATGGGTACAAATCCAGCCTCTTTATCCAACAGTAACTGCTGGAAATGGGGATAGGCAATAAAACAATTACGATAATTACATGATTTCCCCTCTATATGGATGTTCCAGATGCTCTGTATGATTCAGATATAATTGAAGGCCAAACCACACTATGACGTCACTTTCTCTGCGACTACTTATCAGGACCAGCAGTGGAGCAGAAGTGCAAACAGCTGTGAAAAAGGGGCATTTATTGAAGAAATAAGAAGTGTCATTTTGCCCGTCACTACTGTTTGGCAAGTGTTTGTCACATTCTGGGTAAAAATCAGCCTTTAAACTGGAAAAAAATAATGATATGACATTTACCATGAAAATTATCGGGATCAACCGATATTAAATTTTTTGTTGTGATGGCATTTTTTGCAAAATCGCCCAGCTCTAGCTGGAAATTGCCCTCAGCAGACTGGTATAACACTACTGGCATGAACCATTAAAACTGGGAGTCCTCACAAAATGTATCCATGGCACTATGTGTACTGCCTTTACACCTTGTATGTTTGTGGCTTGGGGGTGGGGCTTACAGCGGGCCAGCAGCAGGTTCTCATTGGCGGCCTTCTGCCGGTTTGTGGCAGCCTCTTTGCAGCAGTGCAGAAATGCGCTGACGCACTCGGCCCCGTCGATGATGAACTCGGCGCGGCGCTCGCAGGTGTAGTCCATGAGGTTCTCCACCATGCCGTCTGCGCAGCACTGCTTCTGCAGCTGCGTGCTGTATTTGCTGACTGAGGGGCATCAAAACCAAAAGAGTAAATGGGGCCAAAAGACCCCCCCTCTTCTGGCCAGAGACATAATGCTGCACAGTCAGAAGCCTCCAGGGTAGCAGGTGGATTCACAGAGTTGGACATTTTTTGTTATTTAACAGATGCCTTTATCCAAATAACATATCATTGCAAAGGTGGGGAGCAACTGCGGGGTATAAGGGTCTCGCTCAAGGGTCCAACAGTGAAATTCTAATTACAGGCACAGAACCTTACCCCACTGAACCACACACCCCACTTGAATGGCAGGTAGCAACTTTACCACACATCATATTTATCATGGGTCACAGCTGGCAGGGTACACATCCCGGCTGTGTCTAATAATGTGTATCTGGAGTAGATGCCAAAGGCGGGTCTTACCCAACGAGGTCTTCAGGTCCAGCAAGGTGATGGAGCGGCGCCGCCTCTTTGGGGGGGCGGGGCAGTGAGGCTCTGCAGTGGGAAAGCAGAGAAGGGGAGGACAGTAGAGAGACGAGGGGGCAGGTTAACAGAGTCCCCCAGGGCACCAAGACCGTACAGCAGGAGCGCTAACCTTTATAACGTGGGTGTAGAAAGTCACCCCCTGCACATGTTAATATTCTGTATGCGTTTCTGACGGAGCAGCACCTGTTCTGGATTTGGTCTCCACATTAGCATTGGACTGGAATATCAGCCCAGCACCATAAAAGACGTCCATGCTGTTCCTCCCGCTTCCCGCCGTGCAGCCGATGTCGTGCTTCTCCACCGTGTCCCAGATCTGTGTCAGACAGCACAGAGCAGCAGACAGCGTGACTGTCCCACAAGCACCACTGAGGTGCATGTGAATCTGTATGCTGACGGTAAACTGAGCTGATGTGTTACCTTGCTTTGGGTCAGTCTGTTTCTGCTGTTCAGCACGTAGACGCCCTTATCCACGGCCACCAGCCCCACCTTGGCCTCAGGGTCACCCTCAATTTTCAGAGTGAACTTGCTACGTGGCTCATATTGTGTCTTCTCCGAGGTGACTTTGAGCTTTTGGCCAAAAAAGAAAGGAAAGGTTATTTGCTTTCACTGAAACAGCAATTACAGGGAGAAACACCGACGGAATGGGAGAAACATCAGTGATTGAGCAATGTCACTGACAAAACATCAATGCGACATAACAAACATCAGTAATGCGGTGTCGAGAGTATGCAGAGAGTATGTTTTCTTTACACAACGTAGGCACAGCTGATGCAGTGTTATGGAGCGTAAGTCCACTGTGGAAAGAAAATTGGACATTAGTAGGACCGGGAGGAGAGGCATATTGGGTCTGTTATGTTTTAGGCCTTAGGCGAGAAGAGACTGTTTTGAATACTGTGTGACCTCGCTTTGTGATAGCTGCATGTGGTTAGTTCTGCAGACGCTGAAGAGAGATCAAACCTGGAATAGGCGGACCGCAGAGAAAGGAGGCGAAGAAACTGCCTGAAGCAAGGGATTTGAAGCTGCCCCAACTGGTGCATAAAGAGTTATACAGTAAAGTAGTTACAGTAGGTCACACGCGATATGTTATATGGTATTACAGATGTATAAGTACTTGTTACTTTAATCCTATGGGCAGTGGTGGCTTAATGGTTAGGGATATGCACTTGTAATTGAAAGGTTGCAGGTTCAAATCCCTGACCAGCATGGTACCCCCTGAGGTACTTTGAGCAAGGCACTGCTCCTCGGGCACTGAATTAACTGCCCCCTGCTTTGTCACATATGGGTTATATGCAGAGAACACGTTGTGTTGTGGTGTATCCACAATGACAATTAATTACTAAATCGTCTTATTAAATCATATGTTGGCCATGTATTTACAGTGATTCAATGTCAAGGGGAAGTGCAGTTGCCGTACCACACGCAGAGTCCGTACATAAGTATGCACTCGATGGAACAATAGTAACAAGTGGTACACAGGATGTGGAGAGGACACTGGCGTCCTCTGGAGTGAAAGAATATAGTAACTTTATTAGTACTTAATGCTCTAGTCCCCCGGACTTTGCCCTGAAACATCCTTGTGACATCGGCTGCTGTTTCTTCGCTCAGGACCCCTTACATATGTGATGGGAATTGTCGTGCCTTCCTCCTCAGCTAGTGCAATGCTAAGCTATTCGGCTGCAGACCTCCTGAGCCTCAACAACAGCAATGTCCCTGTGGATCCTCTGGACATCCTCACCATGAAATGGCTGGGTCTCCTTCGCCGACGTCCGTATGTCCACAGAAGTTCCCAGAGAAAGTTTATCCTCCATCAGACAGGGCTCTCCATGCCGGTCATCTGGTCAGCTGGATGTTCCGGCGCGCGGCGATTACGTCATCAGAACACCACAGCTTTTGGGATTTATAGTCCCGATAACACTACAGCAGCTCCTGTGGTTCTTCGGATGCAGGAAGCAAACGTGGAGTGGATTTTAATCTTCTCAGGACTTTTAAAAGACATATGGCAGCGCCTCATCTTAATGTTGGACTTTTTAATATTCAATCCTTGGGTAATAAAGCATGTCTCATTCAGGAGCACATCAAGGACAAGGATTTGGATATCATGTGCCTCGCAGAGACCTGGCGTCAGGCAAATAGTTTCTCTGTCCTCAATGAAGCCTGTCCGCCTGGATATAATTATCTTCAAAGAGCATGAAGCTCGGGTCGCGGCGGTGGCTTAGCCGTCATTTTTAAAGGTCGTTTGGGCCTTTGTCCTGCGCATTTGCCTGTGCTGTCCTCCTTTGAATGCTTAGCCTTCTCCTCCAAACCATCACACTCAATGACAGTACTTCTTATCTACAGGCCCCCTAAATACTGTCCCTCCTTTCTCTCTGAGATGTCAGAGATCTTGTCATCGTTCTGCACCACTTCATCCAATCTACTCATATTGGGGGATCTCAACATTCATGTTGATACTCCCACCAATTGTCAAACTGCTGAATTCCTTCAACTGCTGGACTGCTTGGACTTGGAACAACATGTCAAATCTCCAACACACTCTTTAGGACACACTCTGGACTTAGTCATCACGAACTCTCTATCTGTGCATCATCTCTCCATATAAGACCTGGGTGTGTCAGATCACAAAGCCATTTACATGGAGTTTCCCTTCCAAAACTCTCTCATGAAGCCAAAGCGGCAGATTTCTTCTCGAAATCTAAAAACCATTAACCCTGAACGTCTTGCACCTGACCTTAAGGACCACATTCCTGTCTCCATACTAATCTCCACCAATACAGTAGATTTCTACAACTCCACCCTCTCCACCATCTTGGACCGCCACGCTCCCGCCAAAACGAGGACAGTTGCCTTTATGCGCTCAGCTCCATGGTTTACACCAGAGCTAAGGAAACTAAAGGCAGCTGGTCCAGCGCTTGAGAGATGCTTTTTAGCTTTGGGTCTGCTACTCCACAAGCTAGCTTACCAGCAACACCGCCCTGCTCTTCAAAAATAAGAAAATCATAAATTTGATCAACTGGTCTCTCAGCACAATTGACACCATCTTCTCGCAGAGAAGCGCGGGTTCGGGGGAACCAGACTGTCCAAATTGGACACCATCATTTGGACTATGGACTGCAGACTTGATAACATCATGGAGAAGCTCACGGCTCTGAAAAGGATGGATGGTGGAGACCAGCGTGGACATTAGAGGAGCTGCGAAATTACAGCTTCTCGCCCGAAAACCCAAACAACCTAATTCTATCTGCTATTGGCTCCCCTCTAATCAGCACTGGCCTTGGCCAAGGCCGCTGCTGAATTGAACAACTCCCCCAGAAGAACAAGGCAGTGAGACTCTCTTGCATTCCTCTCCCCCAACCCCAAGGCAAGTCGTGACTTTTTATGTTGTAAGGTGTAGTGACCATGTGCTTATGTTGCTGAGGTGTTTTTTCTGTTCCTACAGTGTACTCCCTACTGTAGTACAGTCTGGGGGCTGTTTTTTTATTCTCCTCCTCTCTCCTCATGTAATCCTGTTTTCTCTGTTTTTTTTCCTATATCGCCTGTCTACCTGACCTGTCTACCCCCTGTAATCTTTGTTTGTGTATCGTCAGGTTGATCGGGACAAAATTAATTTCACTGCATGTTGTACCTGTACAACAATGCATGTTACAAATAAAGATCCTAACAATTCGCTCTTCATTTGCAACTCCCCTCACTGCACACACCACTGGTGCCAACACACTGCTAGGGAACCCTTCCCTCTTTTGCTCCTTTCCTCAGGTCTGTGTGAAGGAGGTTGAGGCCGCTGTTAGGGCCATGAAACCCTCCACGTGCGCTCTTGACCCCTTCCCAACAGTCCTGGTCAAGGCGAATACGGCCTCCCTCGGCCCCCTTATTACTACCATCATCAACTAATCCCTCCAGTCTGGTCATGTTCCCTCCACTCTGAAATCAGCCATAATCCAACCCCTCCTTAAAACGCCTAACTTGGACCCTCAAGACCTGGCAAATTACAGACCCATTTCCAACCTCCCCTTCCTTTGAAAAGTTCTGGAAAAAAGTGGTTTCAGTTAATCTTCAAGGACACCTACATGAAATTCTTGACAAGTTTCAATCTGGCTTCCGCTCTGCACACAGCACCAAACCAGCCTTGATCCGGGTCACAAATGACCTATTGATCACTGCAGACCGCGGCTCCTCCTCTCTCCTCGTCCTTCTGGATCTGTCAGCAGCCTTCGATACAGTTGATCACCACATCCTCCTCCACTTCTTACAACACCATGCAGGGTTAACTGGCAGTGCTCTGGATTGGTTCAAGTCATACCTCACAGACAGATCTGAGTTCGTCTCCATTGGCCATGCTTAATCATTGAGTCATCCTGTCACTTGTGGTGTTCCTCAGGGATCAGTATTGGGGCTCATTCTTTTTAATCTGTACATGGCTCCACTTGGGCACATCATCAGCAGCTACGGGGTCTCATTCCACTTCTACGCTGATGATACCCAGCTCTACTTGAAGCTGGGTAGCAATGTGTCTGAGACCCCTCCCACTTCATCAGCCCCTTCGACATCTTTGCCCTCCTCTCCCCCCACACTCATCGCCTGTCTGGATGAGATAAAGGCATGGATGAAGCAAAATTTTCTTCATCTTAACAGCTCAAAAACTGAAGTAATTCGAATTGGCACTCCACACCAAAGTCAAAATCTTCAATATCTCTTTCTCCGGTCAGAACATCACCAACCTTGGTGTTATTTTTAACCCTTAACTCACTTTTGAAAGCCATATCAAGCACATTTGCAAAATCTCTTTTTTCCATCTCAGAAATATTGCTAAACTCCAGCCTACACTTTCCCTTTCTGATGCAGAAAAATTAGTGCATGCCTTTGTCTCCTCCAGACTGGATTACTGTAATGCGCTTCTCATCGGGATTCCTGGAAAAAACATACAAAAACTTCAGTATGTTCAGAACTGCGCTGCCAGGGTCCTGATGAGAGTGAGGAAACACGAGCACATCACCCCCGTGCTCCGTTCCCTTCACTGCCTTCCCGTTTCTGCCCTGTCTGCATGGTAATGCGCCTATATACTTAAAAGAACTCCTCACTCCCCACTGTCACCCACACACTCTCCGCTCCACCAACACACACCTTCTCCTCCCAGGACTCGCTCCCGTACCACTGGAGATAGGGCCTTTTCCTGCACTGCCCCACGGCTGTGGAATGCCCTACCTCCACATTTGAGGGCTCCACAGACCGTGACATGTTTTAAAAAAGGCCTGAAAATGTTTCTTTTCAGCCAATGTTCTTAATGATTGCTTTAATGTTTAAATGTTTTATTCCTCTTTTTAATGCTGTTTTTAATGTAATGTTTTTTCACTGTCTGTATGCACTTTGAGATTTTCTTTGTAAAATGTAAAGTGCACTATAAATAAAATTTATTATTATTATTGTGTCAATATAATCAATATCTATATTGATTATATTGTACTATTGTATATCTACCCCACGTAGTCTCTTCACCGGTGTCCCTCAGGGCTCAGTTCTTGGCCCACTCCTGTTCTCCCTCTATACCAAATCTCTTGGTGAGGTCATATCCTCTCATGGCTTCTCTTACCACTGCTATGCAGATGACACTCAACTCATCCTCTCCTTCCCTCCTTCAGACACTCATGTCTCCACTAAGATATCTGCATGTCTAGCAGACATCTCATCTTGGATGATCGCTCACCAACTGAAACTCGACCCTAGTAAAACGGAACTGCTGTACATCACCGCTGACTCATTCCCCCTCCTGGACCTTGCGATCTT